TTAACTACTTTCTTTTGTAGCAGTGACAAAGCAGCCAATATGATTTTCAGCACCTGGCATCACAGTTCACAAACTTGTGTTGCCCCTGCTTTGTGTTAAGAATTAGCTTACATAGAACACAATATTGCATTCAGACCTTCTTAGCCACATATAGATCCACATGTTCTTGGCAGTCAAAGGTGTTGGACATCATAAAAATTATTTCTTTTTGAAATCTGGGTTATAATTGTGCTTAGACTATTGAAAACTGGTTATCCACAGTCAGTTGTGGAATACTGCACCTCTCAACACTGTGCTGTCATTAAAGCAAATATTAAAGCAGTTTTTAACACCAATACTTTCCAAGGACCAGTTTGTAACTGTAGGTCTCATGCTGGGTGTGGCTTCTCGTTGGGTAATGCCAAGATCCAGTAGATACACCATATCAATGCCCACTTAAAACAAATCCAGTGAGAACGCAAAGTGAGGCAAATCAAAAGCATCCCTGCAAAGAAAAGGATTATTACTTACCACCCTGCTGCCTTTGCCACTGATCAACGCTGTGTTCACAACCTATTCTGGCTAAAACATTTTCAGCATCCAGCACACTTGCAGGTGTGTTGAATGCCTGGTTTCCTGCTGTGCTCTGTGGTTCCTTCCCAACGGTTACATCAACACTGTGTTTTGTAGTGACAAAAGGGTAAGAGGAAGGAAGCACAGCACACAGTGGGGGACCAAGCATCTGACACACCCAGACACACCACACATCCTGGATGCTGAAAATGTTTTAGACAGCTTAGCTTGTGAAGACATCGGAGATCAGTGGCAGACATACAAGGTCCCATGACACTAGTTACTTCAAAAAAAAAACAACAACAATAAGATAGTATCACTTTTTCCTGATCCATTTCAATTCTATTTTTTCAGACTGGAATCAAACCTCATATGGCCTACCTGATCCAGAGAGCAGAGAGGAAGCAGACATGATTCTACCCATCATACTTCAGTATTTGTGTCCACCTTACATCTCTTTCTTTGGACTTGGTGCTGTTTCTGCTGCAGTAATGTCATCAGCTGACTCTTCCATCCTGTCAGCCAGCTCAATGTTTGCCAGGAATATTTATCAACTTTCATTTAGGCAAAATGTAAGTTTCTCACACTGAATCTCATCTGTTAAAAAGATAATGTTATAAGAAGGAAAAGGTGAGAGAGAGGGAGCTAAGATAAATTGGTATTCCATTATGAAGTATATTTAAACCCAAGAACAAAAATCTTATATATTGCAGCTTACCAGCTTACCTTAGATATGGTAGCTGCATAATTACCTCTTTCAGACAAAGCACATTTTCTGTTCCTACAGAAAAAAACCTGAAGAAACCAAGTGTCCTTGTAACTTCCTTTGCACTAAATTAAAATAATTTGATGTAACGTTAAATGGAACAACAATGTAGAACCGTTATAAGCAATATTTACAAACTAGACTATGAACCAAAATAAATGTTTGTTGATGCAATATAAGAACAAACAGAGAAAAAAGGGGAAAATAAGTCAAAGAAGGAAAGGTGAAGAGGAAGGAAAACATTGAAGAACAGAAAATAAAGGAGCAAAGAAAGACTTCCCAGTTATTTTTAGTAAACTAAAGTACACCTCCCTCTTATGTAACGGATATGCGAGCGGGAGAGGTTTGCAGTCCAAATAGGGAGAGCAGTCTAGGGTGACAACACTGTACCTCCATCGATACAGTGCAGTGAGCGAGTGTTGTGACCCTAGGAAGGAAGTGTGTTACAGACAGGATCATTAGGTCAAAAATTAAGGAAAAGAAATGTAAATTGTGTAAGTTTAAAACATAGTTCAGAGTGATTTACATTTCACTGCCATTCAGACATATTAAGTGTTAGTATAATGCAATATCTTTAAACTATAACACATTACAGTAATTCTTTTTTTCTTTTAAAAGGCATCAGAGAATGAAATAATCTGGGTGATGCGGTGCACTGTGTTTGTATTTGGAGCTGCTGCCACAGCTATGGCATTGCTGGCGAAGTCAGTTTATGGACTTTGGTACCTGAGCTCTGACCTTGTCTATATTATCATCTTCCCACAGCTTCTTTGTGTTCTGTTTATCAAAGCAACCAACACGTACGGGTCTGTTGCAGGATATGTGTTTGGGCTGTTCCTCAGAATAATTGGTGGAGAGCCATATCTTCACTTGCCGGCACTCATCTGCTACGGAGACTGCTATCTAGACAAGAATAACATGGTTATGCAAAGATTCCCTTTCAAAACTCTCTCCATGCTGGTTTCATTTTTAGCAAACATAGCTTTCTCTTACTTTGCAAAGTATCTGTTTGAAACAGGATCATTGGCACCAAAATTAGATTTCTTTAATGCTGTGGTGGCTAAGCACAGTGAAGAGAACATGGACAAGACAACATTAGTGAAGAGTGACAATATTAATTTGTCTGAGCTAGCTCCAGTAAAGCCAAGGCAAAGCCTGACATTAGGTGCAACATTTGTTAATAAGGAGGCCATAAGTGACTTGGACTCAAGCCCAGAGTCTCCCGACACAGAAAACAAGGACCTGTAATATAGCCATAGAAACACTGCTGTGCTTGCATAGTAAGCAATGAACATTATATACTGAAATACAAAGGGTAAGCAGAATTTATGAAGGATTTATGGTTTTATAAAGCTGTCATTGCACAAATCACCACAAGCATCATAAGATCCTCTTACTGCTGAAGGCACTTGTATCCTGTCTTCTCTGTTCTTCCGAACTTGATAGATGTTAAGTGTATCCTTAAATACCCATGTCTTTGTGACTTAGTATTTTGCAGGCTTTGATCTTATTTTGTGAAGATTCTAGCAATAAGTAATAAGTTTAGAAAGATAAAGTAACACAAACCAATGGAATACTCAAAGTTACTAAAACCAGTACATAGAATATATAAGGAGTACTAAGTGCACACTAAGTGCACACTTCAACATAAGTCGATTTAATAATGCTTTTTTTGAGTCAGGTCCCATACTATATTAAAACACAACATTAACATTTTTGCACTATTTTTTACTATAGTCCACAAAATGTATTGTTTATATTGCTCACCGGCACATCATGAATCATTGACAAAATTGATGGTTACTTGGTGTTGTGGAAAGTTGATAGGGGTGAATCATGTGGCTTTGTGGTGCTCTGTTAAAGTATTCGTATAATCTCCCAGCTTATAACCCAAATATCCTAATTGTGCCTGCTATATAGACCATGTGTTTGTTTGTCTCCTCTGGGCAAGTGTACAGAGTTCCCTAAAGTTTTTGAACTAATGTAGACTGGAGGCAAGGTTTATGCAGCCTGTGACACATTTCACATAATCTTTTCCATGGGTTGTAGGAAAACATAACAAAAAATTAATTGCAAATGTATGGAAAAACCACAAGTAGATGAAACACCGTCACTGTAACAAAGCTCAAAGAGTAAACTATAAAAGCAATGTAATTATTTGCCTGCAAATCACAGTATTAATAGTGACAATCACAAGTGTAATTCCTAAAAGCCTGTACACTATGCAAACATGATATATTGTGAAATAATATTTGTTCCAATTTGTATGTAATTACAAGATGTCATTTACTATATATTTCAAGTTTTTAAATATAATGGTTTAATTATTATTGCACTTATAAATTGTTTTCTTGTTTTTGCTGACATTACATTAGGCTACAGTATCATTTTACCACAACCCCATTTTATTCTAATATCCTACAAAAGTTATTATACTTCAATATACCAAATTATTTTACTCTCATTATTGTTAGGGATGGACCCCTAGATCATAAAACTGTGAAAATAGTAAATACCTTTTGGTAGCTGTGGTTTGAAGTTTGCTTGGCAGATTGAGAGCCATAGCTACAAAAAATCTAACAAGGATATACAATGTATGGTCCAGCAGTTTCAGATTTTGTTGGTCAAAATACCTTGTTCTAGATATGTTCCTCAAATCTAGAACAGTGTATTTTGTGTGAAGTTCTTTGTGTAATAGTTCCCTTGTGTGAGTGCATTTACAAATTCCCTGTGGTCTGAAAAGCCTGGTCTTGCAACCTAGCACTTTCCTACCTAAATGCACTAGGAAACCTATCACTTCCTTTCTTCATCATCATTCTGTTCAACTTTTACCAGTATCCCCTTCCTTTATGGTTATCAGTGGCTGTGACATTATGAGCAGCACAGTGTAGATGATCCACCAGCTGTATAGCTACATTTTATTTTTTACAAGCCTGTTTACCAGCTGAGACTCTCATTAATTTGTATACTACATCAGTAAATATTTGTGCTTGTAATATTAGCAGAAGAATAATAATATACACTTTCAGCCCTACAACCTTAGGATCAGATATTAGGCTCAATTCACAAAGTTTTAACACATAAGGGCTGAAAATATGTCACATTTTGAAAATAGGAATCATAATCCTTGTGTGTAAGCTTTGTTAATTGCATGTGTTAGCTTTTTAATTGCTTTAAAGGTTTTGACTAAGGATACACTTTTGTATGCTTCTATACAATTACAATGTCCTGTGGAAAAAAAATTAGTAGTTAAACGCACTTTATTTCATGCAAAATTCCACTTTTTTAGGACTTTCAAAAGTAAAATGCACTTTGACTTTACCACAAAAGATTTCGTCTCACTAGTTTTCTCAATGCCATCTTAGTAGCTTCAGCACCGTCAAACCTGCACAGCCACCATGGTACTTTACTTTTGCCTGTAATTTGTCCTCCTACACATCAGAGACTGTTGACCTCTGATTTCCCAGGTTACCTTGGAACTGTACATTAAATTTCACCGATGCCCACTCCTTAATGGAGCACCTGTAGAGAAATCGACCATGGTGGCTGGGTAGTGCCAAATTATGCAAGCATTTAGGTGAAAAGTCGAGTATGCATACTATTGGGAAACCGGTGCTTTTCTTACTTTAAAAACTCCCTAAAAGTGGAAATTTTATTTATGAGATTTTGGAGATATTTGCACATTTTTGTTTACCTGTATAATGCTCATGTTAGTCTAGTTGTGGATCAGAAAACACACTTATGCAGCTACATGGTTTTAATACAACATATGAACAAGCCGCTTTCTTATATGTTCTGAAAGATCTTTGATGGTCAAAATCAACATTTGTGTTACTAAATTATGTCAGAACAAGGTACTATTTTTTTCATTTTCAGTTTTCAGCATACCAGAAGCACCAAAAGCAGACAAATTAAAAAAGACATATTAAAAAGAGTAAAATGTTTGTTCTGTTCTTTGCTGAATGTGAGGTGAACACATAGCTGACGTTTAAACCAGGTAGGAATTATGTCTAGATTCCAAGATATGGGCCTGGAAATAGCTATATGGTCTTCTTTCCCCAAAGTTACACTCTAACGAATACAAATGGAACTTGGTGCGGTTAGAGAGATTCCTGTTTGGTGTTTAGAAATAGTTAATTATAAAATACATGATGATATTAACAAAACAGAGTAACCAAATAAAATATAATAATTACCCTAGATGCATTGGCTTTTTTTCTAAGAACATAGTGTGCAGTATAACTTGTTTATAGCTTACATGTGAGGTTGGGTACTAAATGTACTTTTGTAGAGGATACTCAGTGTCAACACAGAAGCCACTTATCTACAAAATTGTTTTTAGACCTTTTCTGGCAAACATCTTACAAATGGCCCACCCTTTAAGTTCTCATACAACAGATGTTTACTGGGTTATTAAGCTGCCAGTTAATTTGGTTAATTAATGCAGATTTTATATTATCGACCATATTGTCACCTGCACAAGATTGATAGCAGAGTTGGGTCAAAGAATGACCAGTTCCTTTGCACTCAGTCTCGAATGTAGAGTGATGACAGATTCCATTTACTAGGGTCATAATAGCATTTTCTATTTCAAACACAGAAAATACTTTGTACACTTCACATTCAAAAGCAACACATAACTGAAAAATGTATAATATTAAAGAAAATAAGCATTGCACTGATTGTTTATTAATGGGATTCTATCAATAGAAACATTAGCTAACAATTTGTTGACCCCCCCAGTAACAGATAGCTATGCATGGGTCATGTACCCTCTGCCAGATATTAGCAGTTTTGGATGCACATCAGCAACAGACGGAATACACTGTTAGAAGGGAGTTTTTGACATGACCTACTCTTATACTACAATCATAGTTGAAGAAGTGGGCTGCTTTAAAGCAAGTTGTAGGAAGGATTAAATCCAGTTCTAGAAAGAGAACATGTGTAGGAACCTTCCAATCGGGCAGGGGAGGCCTTGGAACCTTTCAGTTGGGGGGCACACAAATCGAACAAGCCTTTTTGGACAGATTTCTGTGTGTAAAGAAAGCATACCATTCATAGTAAACCATTTTATAGCATTGACTGGTGGGCACCATGAAATGAGAGGTGAATGTTTTTAAAGGACATGTTTTTTTATAGTGACACATCTTTCTTCATTAGATTTCTTGCAGTTCTTGGCAAATTATCACATGAAGTTTCACAACCACAAAAGAAGTTGGTGCTGGTAGACTTTCCTCTGTCAGTTGCTGTGATCGCAGGTCTGAACAGGAACCAGTTACCTCAATACCAATTAGATTGTACCACTGATTGCAAGTTCTGCTCTGATCAATCTCTTATTGGTGAAGTATCTCCACTCAATACCACCTGCCCAACATATCTTATTAGTACTGGCCCAGGGGGCAATCAACCCCCAGTCCAATCCTCCCATGCAACCTGGTGCCAGCTTACTTTGCAATTATCTCAGGAGAATGGTAGCAATCAATCTCGAAACTTCCTACATAGTTCGCATGTAAAGGTTTTTATTTATTCAGGTATAACTAGTAGTAGTTAGCTACAGTTGACCGGACATGGTCTGTAATGTGACTACTACTAGCTAACACAGTTGACAGACTTTGCTCCTGAACATGATCAGCCACAGTTGTTGATTCTAGGCTAATGGTTGTTACTGACTTCGAGTGAACTTGTCATAAGAAAATGCTGTATAAACTTGTTTTCCAAGACAGTAACAAGCCTCATAAGTTTATTTGACATATCTTCCTCTTATCAGAATTCTGTCTCAGTAAGCCCGAGGTCCCACCAAACCCAAGGCACATACGACAACTAATTTTGCTGCAACTCTGTGCTCAGGGACTACACCCAACACCTAACAATACATTGTGACAGCCTTTCAATAGGTTGCTGAGGTGCTCACAATTGCACTGTGGAATGTTAGGCGCCAACCTTATGTGATTACTGTGTTTTTACTAAGGGACTGCTTGAGGGAACTGGAGCAGATACTGGACAAGCTGAGGGCATAAACCAGCATCCTGCTGTCTATTGGTTTAGTATATGTTGCATTTTTATCTCAGCAGACTTTTTATAAAGCAAATCTCATGTCATGAATTTAAAGTAGCCATTGCAATTATGTGACATAGTGCTCCCCTGATCATAAATGTAACCCTGTTTCGTAGAAGTGTGGGGCCACTGGGGTCAGGTGAAGGTTCAGAGAAAGGGCTAGAAGTGGAGTTTTTATTACCCTAATTTTTGGTGCCGAAAACCTATGTTAAAAACTATCAGCATCAGGTTCTCAACCATCATGTCAACAATTTTGCTATGTATTTTAAAAAGAAATCAGATGGGTTGCTATCAATTAGGGTCTATGTTCTTCAAAATGGAAATATACATTTACATTTGCATGTTACTAATGTTTACCATAAATATACTAGTGTACAAAAAATTATTTACATAGAAACAATTGTTAATTTCTTAATATAAATCTTAATATAACTCCTGCCAACCACATATAAAATAGATGCAAATGTAACTATTGAAATATATAACTGTCTATACACATTTCAACATAAACAGAGCAAGCTTAAAGCTGAGCACTGGGCAGAAATTTTAATAAATG